AGACATGAATGGGAGAGCATTCCTATTTCTAAACTTGAGAAACTGGTCTCCTCTGTCCCCAGACGTCTGAGTGTTGTAAGAAGGGGGGATGCCACACAGTGGTAAAAATGGACTTGTCCCAACTTTTTTGGGATTTGTTGACGCCATGAAATTTGGAAACAGCAGATTTTTCCCTTAAAATGATACATTCTCTCAGTTTAAACTTTTGATCTGTGATTTGTGTTCTATTCTGAATAAAATATTAGATGTTGGCACCTCCACATCATTGCATTCAGTTTTTATTCACAATTTGTTTAGTGTCCCAACTTTTTTTGGAATTCGGTTTGTATTTCAAATGTTATTTCTTTTAATATTGATGATTATAACTGACAACTAATGAAAATGCCAAATTCAGTGTCTCAGAAAATTAGAATATTGTGAAAAGGTTCAATATTGAAGACACCTGGTGCCACACCCTAATCGGCTAATTAACTCAAAACACCTGCAAAGGCCTTTAAATGGTCTCAGTCTAGTTCTGTAGGCTACACAATCATGTGGAAGACTGGTGACTTGACAGTTGTCCATAAGATCACCATTGACACCTTGCACAAGGAGGGCAAGACACAAAAGGTCATTGCTAAAGAGGCTGGCTGTTCACAGAGCGCTGTGTCCAAATCACGCCCCCTGAGGTCAGCGGACCAGTTGCTCCTCACAGTTCCAGGAACTCTTCTTAAGCTCAGAGGTGACAGGGCCTTCTCCGTAGCAGGACCAAGACTTTGGAACGAGTTACCTCTGCTTGTCAGACAGGCCCCCTCCCTCTCGGTTTTCAAGTCCTGTTTAAAAACCCACTACTATTCAGTAGCTTTCAACACCAGATGATCTGTGTTTTGAACCTGTATGCTCCACACTGGTTAGTCGTCATCTGCATCGTTTTTATGTCTATATTCTGATTTACTTCATTTTGTATATTGCTTTGTGTTTCACCTGTTGTTCTGTCTGTACAGCACTTTGGTTGGCCTTGTCGCTGTTTTAAGTGCTCTATAAATAAAATGGTATGGTATGGTAAACACATTAATAGAGAGGCAAAAGGAAGGAAACGATGTGGTAGAAAAAAGTGTACAAGCAGTAGGAGTAATCACACCCTGGAGAGGATTTTGAAACAAAACCCATTCCAAAATATTAAGATTAACAAAGAGTGGACTGCAGCTGGAGCCAGTGCTTCAAGAACCACCACGCTCAGACGTATGCAAGACATGGGTTCATCTGTCACATTCCTTGTGTCAAGCCAATCTTGAACAAGAGACAGAGACAGAAGCGTCTCGCCTGGGACTGCTGCTGAGTGGTCCAAAGTCATGTTCTCTGATGAAAGTAAATTTTGCATTTCCGTTGGAAATCAAGATCCCAGAGTCTGGAGGAAGAGGAGAGGCACAGAGTCCACGTTGCTTGAGGTCCAGTGTCAAGTTTCCACAGTCAGTGGTGGTTTGGGGTGCCATGTCATCTGCTGGTGTTGGTCCACTGTGTTTTCTGAGGTCCAAGGTCAACGCAGCTGTCTACCAGGAAGAGCACTTCATGCTTCCTGCTGCTGACCAACTTTATAGAGAAGCAGATTTCATGTTCCAACAGAACTTTGCACCTGTACACAGTGCCAAAGTTACCAGTACCTGGTTTAATGACCATGGTATCCATGCTCTTAATTGGCCAACAAACTCGCCTGACTAGAAAATCTATGGAATATTGTGAAGAGGAAGATGCGATACATCAGACCCAACAATTCAGAAGAGCTGAAGGCCACTATCAGAGCAACCTGGGCTCTCATAACACCTGAGCAGTGCCACAGACAGATCGACTCCATGACACGCTGCATTGCTGCAGTAATCCAGGTGAAAGGAGCAACAACTAAGTATTGAGTGCTGCACATGCTCATACTTTTCATGTTCATACTTTTCAGTTAGCCAACATTTCTAAAAATCCTTTTTTATTGGTCTTAAGTAATATTCTAATTTTCTGAGAAACTGAATTTGGGATTTTCGTTAGTTGTCAGTTATAATCATCATCATTAAAATAAATAAACATTTGAAATGAATCAGTATGTGTGTAATCAATGAATATAATAGACAAGTTTCACTTTTTGAATGGAATTATTGAAATAGATCAACTTTTTCCTGATATTCTAATTTTATGACCAGCACCTTCAGAAATGTTAGCTTGTGGTTTGTTTCAAATAATAATATACGTGAAAGAGTACGAATATAAATATGTGTGAAATACCCAATCAATATTTAATTGTCCTAATATCCTTTAAGGTTTCAAAGGCAAATTCTTCAAAATAGCCTTTTTGCAAATGTCCCAGAAACAAAGCCTGCTTAACTAATTCAAATGTATTTTCCATTTCAAATGTGTTTTCTGTGAACATGGTCATTAAATTAAAAAAATAAGTATTTTCTCCAATTGAACACTTACTAAAATGCATCAAACCTGGCGTTGTTTATTAAACAGCTGATTTTAGCTCAAAGGCTGATCCCACTTGCTCTGCTGCCACACTTTAGCATGGAAATCAACTTAAATGACATTTCTTTAAAAAAAATAAAAAAATTCCTGCAATTATTTGCTTCTGCAGAAGAAAGCCTTATAGCCCACCTGTGCTTTGCATTCCTCTGATGCTGTCCAGTAGCGGTCAAGAAGACCCTCAAAGCCTCCAGCTAATAGTCCTTCAGTGTGATGTCAGCAGTGATGCTCAGCTGTTTAAACCAGAAGTAATTAATATCAAACACTTGACCCAAACTGGTCAACTGCAGTGGATTCACATGTGGTTGTCACCGTTGCTGTGTATTACATCACAAATTGATATATTACTTCTAATCTGTCAGAATGCAAAGAAGCTTTCAGGATTGCTTTCATCTCTGAAACATCAACTTTTGTTAACTAAAATGAACCGAGAATATGAAAGCAGTGATTAATGATGTGCAATTTTAAATGTTTTAACTGTTACTTTTAAAAAGTTTGTTTATTAGATGTATCAGTTATTTCGGTTTGTCGGACCAGACTAAGGGAGGCTGAACTAAACCACTATTAGTGTGGCGCACTGCAAGGTGGTAAAGCCATTTTTGATTTGTTTTATACTTTAGGATCATCAGGCATGGAAACCAACAACAAAAAAGGTCATGACACCTTAAAAATCTAAATTATGAACTGCTACTGTTTACCATTTCTAGTGTTACAGCTCTAAAACGGCAAGTGACACCATCACAGTGACAGTTTTAGGGTCATCTCAGTGTAATTGCTTTCCCTCACCTAATTTTAATAGCTTAATTTTAATCTCAATCCCCCCCAGGATGTGCTGGAGTTGCTGATGACTTTGTTTAGGGTGATTTGAAGAGACAGCAAAGTGCAAAATGAATCCATCCCAATCCAATTAGCATCATCTTTAACCTTATGATGGACACCTCAAGGTGACTCAGCCCCCACGCCCAGATGCACCATTACCATTCCACCTTGACCAGCTCATCTACATTACTTAAAGCTTCATTTTTTTTCATTAACCGCCTCAGATCGTTCAGGCTCAGCCTTCCTCTGTCAGCTCAGGAACACGTGGAGAACTCCATCGCAGTTTCTACAGGTGTGAAGGGGGATGGCGCAAATATCCATTTTAATTCAAAATAAAAAAAATTAAAACGCTTTGCTGCTCTGTAGGGAAAAGTTGATGTACAGAATTTGTTAAACTAGAAAGTTCCTGGAGACTGCCGTGTTGTGACCATTTTAAATATTTGATTTGACAGTATTATGTGTTTGGGTTCGCTCTCAGCTACCACCACACCAAATTTAATAATATATGAATAATAATGTTTCACATTGTCATCACTGTATGGGGGGGGGGGGGGGATTTGGGGGATAAGGTGTGCTGCCCAGAGACACCACGAGGTATACATACAGTGACTGGGGATCGAACCTGGGACTTTTGGGTCCCGAGCTGGCTGCCCTGCCTCTACACTATCTCGACCCCCATCAGCTTAATATCTAAAAATAGCTGGTTTAAAGTGGCTGGTTCAACAAAAAAACGAAGTCCAGATGACATGATTCAACCTTTTTTGTTGTTATATACCTGGATGACTGAGAAAACAAACTTTGTGGTTTAAAGTATGTTTCCTTTTTAACATAGGCGGCCATCTTGAATTTTTGATTTGCAGTCAGAGTCATTTAGGGATTGTTCTCAGCTACCAATACACCAAATCTCAGTTCAGTAGCTCTAAAACCATTTGAAATTAGCTTAGTAGCTATTTATTTTCCCTTTTAGCTAAGGTGGCCATCTTGGATTTTTTTATTTGCATCAGGAATATATATTAATTCACTCTCAGCTATGAATTTCAGGTGGATAATAATAGGTGGCTGCATTACTAGGCAGTCCCCAATTAGCTCCTAAATAAAATATTAACTGTTTATACAATATATCTTGAGCTAGGACCAGGTGGCCTAATCGTCTGCTTTAAGAAAGTTATGATTAGTTAATTTTATTTAATCTTATAAGAATTAAAATAAAAAAAATTGCACTGAAAAGTTGCATTTGATTTGTTCCTGCTAAAGTAAAAAAAAAAGATTTGGTCGTAGCCATACTTTTCTGCTCTTGTTCAGTTTATGGATATGAATTGTTTTTTGTTTTTTTTCTAACTTTAGCTCTTCTGTAGTTCTCATACAATCTTTTCTTACCTTAATCTCAGCTGCGTAAATGTTTTTGATCTCACTAATCTGAAACAGCAGTCGTGCATTCACAGGACTCCTTGGTAACTTCATCTCCATTTTATGTTTTCCATGCACTGAATGAGCAGATGTTTGTGTAAATTGCATTTCTGTGACACTGCAGATATTAAATACATGCTGGGCATTACTAAATAGCTGTTCTGATGTCATTGGAACTGCATGCAAATGCTGGATTAGACTGATTCTATATATTAGTAATCAAGATTGTTATAAATTAGTAAAATAAGTTAAAATAATCTAATTATTATGTGATGCTTTGTTTTTTCCAGCCAGAGAAATGACCAGGGGGAAGTTCCTGAACATATTGGAAAGGCAGAAGAAATGACCTTTGTTGTTGTTGTTCAAGCGAGCGGACATTTTGAATTGTTGTTTGTTTACACATTTAGACGTTAGTTTAAAAAAAAAACTGAATTCAACTAATTTGGAGAAATCTGCTTTTTGGGTTTCACGTGGCTGAATTATTATTATTTTTTAATTTTTCAGTACCGCCTTTTGCTTTCGTTGATACCTGTTTTGTTTTCACTAATTTTAATTGTTTTATAAATCTTAATGATTTGTCTTATTTATTCTTCTAAACATAAAATGACCTGGTTTGTGAGTTTTGAAATTGTATAATAAAGTTTTAAAACAAACAAAGCAAGGCTGTTCATTTAAAGATTTCTTTCATTTATAAGTTTGGGGCTGATGTAAGAGTTATAGGAGTTCACTTTTTAATTAGGGCAATAACTTCCTGGCTGCTCCAGTCCTCGGAGAGCAGCACCTCTCTGCTGTGCTCATGTTGGGCCTTCCCGTGCTTCCCATCCACCAGGGGCCATGTTTTCCTGTTAATGAGCGCTGGAGAGCAGGGTCGCCTGCACAAAACATTGCATAAAAATAATATTGTTCATTGTCATCGCCGGTAATAAGAGTGGACATAATTATGGGGACCATTTCTTTTCTAATTAGCACACTTCAGCCTTGCTGGAGCTTGCTGCCGTGCAAAAAAGAGGGAATCAGACAGGCATGCCGAATGGGAAACAAAAAGAAGCCCATCCGCCATAATTAGGTGAGACAATGTCCGGGATTGTTCTCGGCTGGAGATGTCGCTGGGCCTCTGGCCGCTCACTCGCCAACACTTCTCCACAGGCCTCTAATAAGCCCCTAATTGTCCTCCGATTCACACGGACAGAGGCCCGCCACGGTCTCCCACACCGACCTTCACTCACCCCTTAAAAAAATAGTCTGGGTTATGTCTCGAGAGGTTTTCCCTGAGTGTCCTGCAAGGACAAGAGTTTAGTGTTCCCTGAACGCAACATGCAGCCGTGCTAAAACGGACTGTGCATCATGAACTATGAAAATACACCTCAGATGTGTAAAATTGTAGTTATAGGTTCTATTAAAGGGTGTTTTAAGTGTTTTAATTAATGGGAGCATCACAAAGTGAAGGTGGACCTTAAAGAAACTCCAAAATGAAAATGGTCAATTTTACTGGCACTGAGCTAAAAGTGGGTGTGGTTGTAGGTTGTGGATAAATGATTCACAACATGTACTATAAGACGGTCGGTGCATGACATACTGGTTTAAAAGTTTGGCATTGGAGTCAACTATGATGGTCTGTTAGCAAAATATCCCATGAACAAGAGGACAGATTTTATTGAAACTTTCAAAAATTATTCACTGATTGAACATTTACAACTGATTAATTTTTGGATTCACTTAAATTCAAGATGGCCACCATAGCAAACAGGGCCAGCCCAAGGCATAAGCAAACTAAGCAGCTGCTTGGGGCCCCGGGGCCACGAGGGCCCCCCACTAAGTGGAAGCACATGCTTTATGAAGTTTGTGAAGTACTGAGGATGAAGTAACAAACAGGTCAAATGTGTGGGTAAAGGGTGTTTTAATATTTTAAGTTCAGCTTTTGAAAGTTGTTGCATATATTTACATAGTTTTAAGAACTAATTATTCAACTTAAATTTTCTTTTTTAAACCGTTTTACGTGGTTTCATTAATTGTTCATTTATTTTATTCAGTTTTGTCTGTTTTTGCACAATTTGTTATTTTTATAAATCTAAGTTATTTTATCTGTTTATTGTCGATCTTGCACTACAAATTATTTTGAACATTACTGTCGCAGTTCTTTGAAACCAAAAAATAATAAACCAGATGACACTTTTGCTGTAAAGTACATTGCATACTAGTGTGTTTTTTTTGTTTTTTTTTTGTTACTTTTAGTACCACATATATAGGATCATGTAAACAGGGCTGTCAGAATTGCAACGAGTTTATGTTAGGTGGGTGAAGGATCTGATCATCTGACTGTTGATTGCAGTAATCCACATTATTAGGACCCCAAACCAGAGCCCCATGGAGGCTTGGGCCGGCACTGACAGCAAATCAACATTAACCGATTCTTAAATGGCTCTATTTCAGTCAGTTTCACAGATATTGAGCCACAGTTTGGTGTGATAGTAGCTGAGAGACATTCACAAAACATACTTGGAGAATGTGAACGCTACTTTCAAATTTTTGACCAAAACAGCTAAAACTCTTGCAAGAACAACAGCATGATATGAATCCCTGCAAGGATTAGTTCTATTACTGAGTGATGAACGTGCAACAGGAACAGGCTGCACGCTGACACTAGTTGATGCTGAGCGAGGAACATTGATCAGTCTGCTCTTTGACATTCTCAGTATGTTTCACGCACTGGTGGCTGCCTGTCACCCGCAGCCAAACAGCTCCTCCAGAGCTGGTCATCCATACTGGAGGGAGAGAAAAAGAGAAAAAAACCAGTCCATCCAGTGACCTCACATCCCTCTGTGCCCCGACAAAACGTCAGTCCAATGTGCCCCGAGCCCTTAAATTAGCTGTCAATTAGTGCAGATTAATCAACTCCTCGCCTAATTAAGCAATGCCAACGGGCAGCTACCAAACAGGACATTGTGGAAGGAGCCATGAGAAAGCTGCGGGACCTAGACTGTGGAGGAGCAGGAGGAGGAGCAGGAGGAGGAGGAGGAGGAGGAGGGCAAACCATCACACCCTGCTTTCAACAAGCAGGCTGTTTTTGTCTTTTCTTTCTTTTCCTTGATTCAGCACCTCACCTTCCTGCAGTTTGTTGTTTTTTTTTAAATAATTCTCTGTTTTGCTTTTTAATCTTGGCATATTTTAAAATAAATTAAAAAATCAGCATAGTTCATGAGTTTAGTATAAAAAAATTTAATTTGATTTTCATTCCAGGTTTCTCTATGTGTGTATCAACCTTTCCTATGTAAAGTCATTTAAATGCATTATTGGTACGCCCCAACAATTTTCAGTCAGGTCATCTGGACAGTTTTTTTTTTTTTTTTTTTCTAAATGTTTCAGCAAAAAATGAAGAAGAAAAAAAAGAAACTGTCCAGATGACCTGACTGAAAATTGTTGGATTGTATACCTGGATTATTGAGCTGTTATGATTATTGCTACTCATTACAAACTAATTTACTTTTATAGTTCTTCAGGTTTATTGACATGTAATTCTGAAACGCGGGTCTGCACTCATTGTAAACAAAGCACTTTATTCTGCACACTTTACTCAACAAATATGAAAAACCAATCCATTAACTTATTGAACTTCTACATCCTAAACAGCTCTCATCACTGTTGACCTATTTTCAGTCACTTCAGCTGTTTCTGTAAGGATAAAAAAACAAAAATAGTCAAATTTTGCTTATTTTTATATTTTATTTATCCATTTTTATTTTATATTTTGTCCAAATATTGTAAGGTTTTTTCTCAAATTATACATTTTATTTGACCAGTCTTCATGACATTGCAATACCTTTAATGTGGGCGATTTAATCTTATCTGCTTATTATATTTTTATTACAAATGACAAATCAGTAAAGATCTTTTCCAGATCCTAAAACTTTCCACCGAGTCTTTTTTTAAGACAGGGAAGAGTGACGGCAGCAGAAAAAGATGCTTCATTCATGTGGTTTATGAACCACAAATAAATAAATAAAAAATTAACAGCTGTGTTCTTTTTAGTCTGAGCTGTCCATCTGATTCTGCAGGTCTTTGATGTGCAGCCTAATCTACACGAATGACTGAACTAAATCTTCCCTTAATCTAGAGCCTTATTAAGCTGCCTCTTCCCTGCATGTAAATCAGGGTGCATCTATTTCCCTAAGAAGATGGATTAATGAAGAAAAAAACATACATCGAGGAGAAAGTGTTCAACAAACAAACAAACAAGCTGTATAGATTGTAGCAGGAGTGATGATGGAGTGAGAGGCCTCAGATACTTCCCTGTAATTGACGGGGGTCATTCTGACTCACACCCTTCCCTGTTAATAAATGACTGGATCCCAACAGGCTGATGTGTCATTAGCATATCCTAATAACATTGATTTCTTCATTAATAGAATTTCCACTAAATAGGCCCTAATTACTTTCAACTGGCCAACCACTAATTGCAGCAGCAACATTTTTCTTCCTGTTAATCAGCTCCTCGTTTCACAAGGATATAAAATATGACTTTATGGCAGGTCAGTGGAGGCTCTGCTCTGCAGACACACACCCATAGGCCCCTTGAAACAGAGGCCCACATTTACTTCCATTGCTCTGCGCATTTTAATAAGCGTATTTGATAGGTTTATTAAGTAAAATATCCTTATTCTACATGGATTACTTTATTAGTGTTTAGGTCATCAGGACCTTGTTGCAGGAGAATAGTGCACAAATTTGTTCCTGTGTAAAAAAACAAACAAACAAAAAACACTAAATATTCAAAAAACAGGAGAAGGAGAAAAGTTAAATTCGTTCTTTTTTTTAACTTATTAAAAGTCAACACAACCAAAAAATAATATCAGTGTATAAAAGGATTGCCTTATTTTTAAGTCCTCAGTACATTAAGCAT